ATTTTTAAAAGAATTTTTTCCATCTATTGCAGATACATAGATAGTTCTGGACTCAGCGGGAGAATACCTTTATCATTTGCTAATCTCGTGGAGCTGGAACAAGCGTAAGATATACTGAATTCGAGTATAAGCTTTATTGTTGGGTTTCTATAAAGATGTTGTAATCTATTTATTACTTTAGGTTTTAGTCTTGCCATTGGGTGATTTTAATCTTAGTGTTGTACCAGTTGGATAGCGGATCTGGAAGTTACAGGTCAGATACCAGACTTTATAGGATCTTGGACCAAACTTACTACCTTGTAAGAAGATTTCATTTTTACGGAGTTATGTTGGATTTGTTCCATTCATCTTGTTTTTATATATTCTACATTAATTTTACTCTTAGTAGAAAATTCTTCTTTATGTGTAAATTTGGGATTCAACGATTGGTACATGTTTTACTGCAGGAGAATTCTCGGAACTGGTTTGAGTGGTCCGATACCGTCGTCATTTTCCAACTTGACTTCTTTGACAGAACTGTATGTGTTGTATTGTGTCAGAATCATTATTGTTTACTGTTTCTCTATCTTTCCTTTCTCCACATATTCATATTCTAAATGTAGGAGGCTTGGTGATATATCCAATGGAAGTTCTTCTCTTGAATTCATCAAAGACATGAAATCTCTAAGTGTATTGTAAGGCAGCTTTGATTCAACTTCTCCTCCAATTCATGATCAGCTTTAATTTAAGTTTAAACTGTTTCTCTCTCCTCCGTGTATTTAACATTTATGATATATGTCACAGAGTTTTGAGGAACAACAATCTCACTGGGACAATACCGTCTACTATTGGAGAACACTCAAGTTTGCAACAAGTGTAAGTACATATGTCAATCTGTTTGTTTCTTCAAATGCTCTGAAAGCTGTTTCAGAGTCTTTCCCTGTAAAAAGAGTGAGATCATCATTGTTGAAAGTCACCGAATACGAAATGATCCTATATTGATGATTTGTGAAAGTCCCCGAGAAAATTCGAAACAATCTTTAATTGCTGTTAATTGCTGATCGCATAAACAGGAATGGTTTAATGTTATACCATGTAATGCATGTCTGTTAGCAAACAAGTGTAAGTAACTCGTGTCTGGTTTCCAGTGATTTGAGCTTCAACAAACTACATGGACCAATTCCGGCTTCGCTTTTCAACTTAAGTCGACTTACTCACTTGTAAGATGATATGTTTTCTGCTTCTTTTGGGTCTTAATATACAACTACACGGGTAATATTTTTATAAAATTTTTACTCTTTTCATATTAGGTTTCTGGGAAACAACACGTTGAATGGCTCCTTGCCCACTCAAAAGATGCAGTCTCTGAGAAATGTGTGAGTAACGAAATTCTTTACAATTGTTTCATCTAGTTTTTTGGTTGGTTTGTTAACAGATCCTCCTGATGTAGACTCAAGTTTACTACTTTGGTTACGCGGAAGACTTCGCCAGATAATCAGGAAACTATTTTGGGTCATATTACATATTCTGGATATCCTAATTATTGTTCTTTGATGCTTACAGAGATGTGTCGTACAACGATTTGTCTGGAAGTCTACCTTCATGGGTCAGCTTACCAAACTTGAAACTGTAAGTAAACAAAACACTATATCCCAACTTATATTCACAGTTGTTTCAATCTCAGAAATTGTTTCATATCCAGGCATGAAGCTTCCTTTTTGTACGAAATATTTATTATAATCATATGTTAGTGAATATTAAACAAAACTGTATGATATTTATGCAGCAACCTAGTTACTAACAACTTCACATTAGAAGGCCTTGACAACAGGTGATTATCTTATATATGTTCTTGTTGGTGATTGAAACGCCAATATGTTTCTCTTTTCTTTATTTTTATTATCTTCCGAAAGGATGCAAGATTAAACGACTTATCATCTCTTCCTTAAATCTTTTTCTCTTTTTTAAAAGGGTTTTACCAGGACTAAACTGCCTGCAGAAAAACTTCCCCTGCAACCGAGGCAAAGGAATCTGTAAGTGTAACAAAGAGATATCCTCATAACTGTTATTCGAGCAAACACATGGACAGTAATATAAGAAATTTGTTATTGATTGGTGTCTAGATTCTGACTTTTCGATCAACTGCGGAGGCCCAGAGAAAAGGTCTGTTGGAGAAACACTATTTGAGAAGGATGATGAGAATCTTGGACCAGCTTCATTTGTTGTGAGTGCTGGTCAGAGATGGGGAGCCAGTAGTGTAGGACTTTTTGCCGGAAGTAGCAATAATATATACATAGCTACTTCACAATCACAATTTGTCAACACTTTGGACTCAGAACTTTTCCAGTCAGCAAGACTTTCTGCATCTTCCCTTAGGTATTATGGGTTGGGGCTAGAAAATGGAGGATATACAGTAACCCTTCAGTTTGCTGAAATACAAATTCTAGGTTCTACTTCTAGCACTTGGAAAGCTTTAGGACGACGACGTTTTGACATTTATGTCCAGGTCTGCACTACATGATCAAGCTTTCCGCTTAACAAGTTAACTATTTGGTGTTATCTTTTTCCAAATTTGGTGATGGATTCTAAGATGTAGCTCCGTTTTTCCAGGGAAGACTTGTTGAAAAGGATTTTGATGTACGTAGAACAGCTGGTGACTCTACTGTTAGAGCAGTTCAGAGAGTATATAAGGCAAATGTATCAGAAAATCACCTGGAAGTTCATCTTTTCTGGACTGGGAAAGGAACATGTTGTATTCCTATCCAGGGGGCTTATGGACCATTAATATCAGCCGTCAGTGCAACACCAGGTAACACAAATGGCGAATTCTTTCTTCTTCCCTGATTTTCACTATCTCCTGATGCTACTTAGTGCCTAAGTGTCACATATTCCTGTTCAGATTTCACACCCACTGTGGCTAATAGGCCACCAACAAAGAGGAAGAACAGGACTGGTGCTATTGTGGGGGTCATTGTTGGCGTAGGACTTTTGAGCATCCTTGCGGGTGTGGTCATGTTCATCATCCGAAAAAGAAGAAATCGGTACACAGATGATGAAGGTATATATGTAATCAGAACACAAACAAGCCCTCGAACTGAAGAATTGTGGCCCTAAAATTAAACTTGAGTATCATGTTTTAAATTGGTTTATATAAGAACCAAATTGATTTTTGCAGAGCTACTTAGTATGGACGTAAAGCCTTACACCTTTACTTATTCGGAACTTAAAAGTGCAACTCAAGATTTTGATCCCTCAAACAAGCTTGGAGAGGGAGGATTTGGGCCTGTTTATAAGGTAAGTCACATACCGAAATGGACGACATATCTGTATATTCTTAGATATATGTAATACCTTTTTATACGTTTTGTTTTGAAAAACACATTCAATAGGGAAATCTTAATGATGGAAGAGAGGTCGCGGTGAAGCTGTTGTCAGTTGGATCCCGGCAAGGGAAGGGTCAATTTGTTGCAGAAATTGTAGCAATTTCTTCAGTTCTACATCGCAACCTAGTAAAACTTTACGGGTGCTGCTTTGAAGGAGAGCATCGTTTGCTGGTATATGAGTATCTCCCTAATGGAAGTCTCGATCAGGCACTATTTGGTAATGAACAGAAACATGACTTCTCTATCTCTACTTCTGACAAGCTAAAGTACTCATTTACGCCCTTGGTTTGGATGTTTTAGGGAATAAGACTTTACATCTTGATTGGTCAACCCGTTATGAGATATGTCTGGGAGTAGCCAGAGGTCTAGTTTATCTCCACGAGGAGGCGAGTGTTCGCATAGTACACAGGGATGTGAAGGCCAGTAACATTTTGCTCGACTCTAAACTGGTCCCAAAAGTTTCTGATTTTGGGCTTGCAAAACTATACGATGACAAGAAAACCCACATAAGTACCCGAGTGGCAGGGACAATGTAAGTAATCCACAAACTCTGACCTTTGGTTTGCATCACAATTACAGATTAGTAACACATGTTAATGGTGTTGCTGTATCAATGCAGTGGGTATCTTGCACCAGAGTATGCCATGCGTGGACATCTAACAGAGAAAACGGATGTGTATGCCTTTGGTGTTGTGGCTCTTGAGCTAGTGAGTGGAAGGCCAAACTCTGATGAGAATCTGGAGGAGGAAAAAAAATATCTTCTTGAATGGGTACGTCCTTGCTTATTATGATTGATTGTAAACAGAGGAAGTTTAGAATGGCAAAAGCCAATAATCCTTGTGTAATTCTTGTTTACAGGCATGGAATCTACACGAGAAAAGCCGTGACGTTGAACTTATTGATGATGAGCTGACTGATTTCAACACGGAAGAAGCAAAGCGCATGATTGGCATTGCTCTGTTGTGCACACAGACATCTCATGCCTTGAGACCACCAATGTCACGAGTGGTGGCCATGCTCTCAGGAGATGCTGAGGTCGGTGATGTCACCTCTAAGCCAGGCTACCTAACCGACTGGAGATTTGATGACACCAGCGGCTCCTCTCTCAGCGGATTTCAAACCAAAGACACAACAGGCTACTCCATGAGCTTTGTGGCGCCTGGCTCCGAGATATCACCCAGAGACAGCGATTTTAAGCCAATGCTTGGAGCCAAGATCAATGAGGGAAGATGACAATTTATCCTCTGCGATTAATGGCTATAGAGATGTTTGTATATGGAAGATGACAATTTTCTTCTTTGATTGGAAAAAACAGATTTCTCTTTGATTCAATAATAGTATTTTAGTAGCTCTAAGTTGGAGTTGATCTTTAACTGTTAGTGATGGGTCTAGCATTATTCATGTACTTAGCCAAATTAATGCAGCCTCTGAAGGCGACTGACTCTTACACTAGTAACCTTGTTCCTCGTTGTTTAATCTCTGTATATTCATGTGTTGTAATGTTTGTTTTGGGACTCAAAAGGAAATAATCAGTAAGATTACTTTCATGAGTGGCTTCCACGAGCACTAACTGGATACTCAAACATGCAATTCAAATATGTATAGTTATGTTAATGTTTATTTCATGTTGAAGGCCTCAAGATTCAATTTGACTTATTTGCAGACAATGAATGCCTTAGACAGGCAGCTTTCTGGAAGACAAAGAGTTTTACTTCTTCCAAGTTTCTTGTTTGATGCAGTTTAGACTGAATCAAATCAAAATGATACTAACCAGCAGGTATTATATGATTCAATTGGAAAACAGATGAATTAAAACATAAGATGGTAACCCCCAAGTTTTGAATAACGGAGGACTGAACCAAAACCAAGAGACGAAAGAAAAACCTTAATGTAATCATCAATAGAAAGAGTAAGATAATCATTCGTTTGCCTCGAGTTGTTTCTTCGTGTGGCAGCATCCGCTAACACTGTTGTAGTCAGCGTGACTCAACTTGCTAAGCTTCCCAAGTTTTGTTTCATAGTCTTGGATCAAATCAAACCTATAATATATAGTGCAAGAACAAGCCATATAAACATTCAAAAACAACTATGCTTAGACAAAAACAAAAAAAAAGACTAGAAACTAACCAGTAGGCTAAAGACTGGAATGGAGAGAATCGGTCATAAATTGAATTTGTTGCTTTCTCAAGCGTCTCTTTCGAACACTCCTTCATTTCATGCACCTCCAAACATTACATTACATAAACTAAATTAGACTAATCATATAAATAGCTCTGTAAAGGGAATGAAATATAGATAGATATTATACCTCTCGTAAGAGTCTTAGGGTCTCGGTATCAGATGGAACAAGATGGTAATAGCCGAGACACATAAGCACTGTTGCAGTAGCAAAAGGACCAAAGCCCTTTAACTTATTCATTTTCTCAATCACTTGTTCCACTTCCATCTCTCCCATTTCCATCTTTTCAAGATTCAGTGACCCATTTTCAACCTTCTTTGCTAAGTTTACTATTTGATTTGCTCTGTACCCAAGTTTACAGTGCTCATTGATCACCTCTTTTTCAAGGCTTGCTATTTCCTTGGCGCTAGGGAAGTTTCCCCTTGTTGCTCTCTTGAATTTTGGGTTTGGTTTCCTCTTTTTCGTTACACGGGAATTCGAAGGCCTAATTGTGCCTTCAGCTAGCTTTAATTGCAACTCGCAGAGGTTAGAAGCCATTCCTAGTGTCTTACTCCAAGTGGAATTACACAACAAAATAGATTTGACCATATCTTCAAAGAGAGACGGAGAGCGGAAAATTCGACCGAAACCACTCTTCCTTGCGGCCTCATGGACTTGATGAAACTCAATCATGTCACGTTCGTCCTTTTCTGATATTCTCAGCATCCTCCCAACTTGTTGCAAGATGAGTGCTTCGTCCACTCTGGAAACATTATTGATGCCATGGACTTGGACTACAAGAAAAGAGAGTGTGGGAGGATGAGATATCGTGACATCCACGGAAGAAGAATCCGAAAGGGTTAATGGTCGTTGTAGTGACTTTGTTGAAGGGTTCCACACGTTTGGAGCCATCATGAAGAAACCATGGTTACACACTGCTTTCTCCATATCAAATGTTCCTTCCAACTTTCCAAGATGTAGTCTCAAATTCATCTCTTTTCTCTTGCTTCAAAACATCCTTTTCTTTACACACAACCCTAAGATATATCATAGGGTTAATTTCTACAGTTTCCATAATTTGCATTAAGTTATATATTTTCCATCCTTTAATAAACAACGTTTTCTTTAATGGACTAGAATAATCTAGGGTTTTGGAAAGAGGTTTTCTAGGTGATCGCTTTCATAAATTCTTCGTATCTGATTGATTTTCATAATCTTTTCTCAGAGAGATATTTTTAGCTCATTTTTTTTTTTCCAGTTTTTACTTGAACAAATGGCTTGAACACTGTCATTTGCATATTGGTCGCGGTTCTTCGTTGATTTGTAATCATGTGTTGTAATTTTTGTCTTGGGATTCAAAAGGAAATAATGATTAAGATCACTTTCATGAGTGGGTTCCACGAGCACGAAATGGATATTGGCATTATTACATGACACATAACAAACTAACCCTTTTAATTAAGTCCATAGTTGAAAATGGACGGCGACGACTTTGAAGAAACTCGAAATTTCCTTAATAGTCAATGTTATATTGTTGATCAAATACATAAACAATCCTTGCTGTGATTGGAGTAGTTGTTTAGTTAAGCGTAATTAGATTAAGGAGCTCATAATAATTAATAATTTGACCGTTGTGAGTGATTGTGGAAACAACAGCGCGAGCTTTGAACTCAATCTTCTCGACTTGGAAGATCCAAGCGCCCAAGGAATGGAACATCAGCGGCGAACTTTGCTCCGGCGCCGCCATCAACGATGTCACCATCGACGACAAGGACCACAACCCTCTAATCAAATGCGGCTGTACTTTCGTCAACTCCACAATCTGCCGCATCACTGCCCTGTACGCCTTTTTTGTGCACCCCATGTGTTCGACGAATTTTCCCACTGAATGCTTTGGTCTCGTTTTTGCTTTTCACAGAAAGGTTTATGCGAGAGATGTTGTAGGACCTATACCTCAAGAGCTCTGGACTTTGACATACCTCACCAATCTGTATGTATTCATACCCATTTTTTTGTTATTTCTTATTATCTATAAGAGCACACACGCATTCACAAGTAGAAGATTTATATCTCTTGAGACTGTAATGCATCAAAATCACATCTTTTTTAGGAACCTGGCTCAAAATTTTCTGACAGGCTCACTGTCTCCTGCAATTGGGAATTTGACTCTAATGCAATGGATGTAAAAGCCTCTGAAACCTTCTTTTGTATGATTTTTCAATTTGACAATTTCTTGTCTCTCACGCTCAACTGTTTTTATCACCTAGGACTTTTGGGATCAATGCCTTGTCTGGCCCTGTTCCTAAGGAAATTGGTCGCCTTACAGATTTACGATCACTGTAAGCTTATGCTGCTTCTACATTTTTTTTGAATTTGATCATTTCTTCACATTGCTTCTGCTGATGGTTCCTTATACCTATATATTATTTTTGTTTCTGCAGTAGTATTGGTTCAAATAACTTTTCCGGTTCTATACCAGCTGAGATCGGGAATTGTACAAAACTACAGCAAATGTGAGTGTTTCTGTCAAATCTATAACTGTTTATGTATTTACTTTTTTTATCTAGATATGTATTGCAGATACATAGGTAGTTCTGGACTCAATGGGGAAATACCTTTATCCTTGGCTAATCTTGTGGAGCTGACTGTCGCGTAAGATATGTTGAATTTGAATATAAGCTTTATCGTTACATCTTAGTTGAAGCTATTTTCTTGTAATCTTTTTATTACTTACATTTTAGTTTCTGCCTTGGGATGATTTTTCCTTAACGTTGCACCAGTTGGATTATGGATCTTGAAGTTACAGGTCGGATACCAGACTTTATAGGAAATTGGACCAAACTTACTACCTTGTAAGAAGAATTCATTCCTATATAATGGACTTGTTCCATTGCTCTTGTATATACTATATCCAATTTTCTTTTTGGAAAAATCTTCATTGCATCTAAAATTTGGGATTAAACGACTGGTACGTCTTTTACTGCAGGAGAATTATGGGAACTGGTTTGAGTGGTCCGATACCGTCGTCATTTTCCAACTTAACTTCTTTGAGCCAGCTGTATGTCTTGCATTGTTGTCGGGATCATTATTATTTACTGTTTCTCTTTCTTTCCTTTTTTCTCCACATATTCTTATTCTAAATGTAGGAGGCTTAGTGATATATCTAATGGAGGCTCTTCTCTTGAATTCATCAAAGACATGAAATCTCTAAGTATATTGTAAGGCAGCTTTGATTCAACTTCTACTCCAATTCATGATCAGCTTTAATGTGGTGTTGAACACATTTATGATATGTGTCGCAGAGTATTGAGGAACAACAATCTCACTGGGACAATACCGTCTAATATTGGAGACTACTCAAGTTTGCTACAAGTGTAAGTATATATGTCAATGTGTTTCTTTTAATGCTCTAAAAGCTTTGTCAGGGTCTTATCTGTAAGAAGAGTGAGAAAATTTGTGAAAGTCACCGAGAGAATACAAAAATGCTCTTAAATTTCTGATAATAGAATTTCTTATTATTCCTCATTTATTGCTTAACAGGAATAGTATAGTGTTTTACCATGTAATTCGTGTCTGTTTTCCAGTGATTTGAACTTCAACAAACTACATGGACCAATTCCGGCTTCACTTTTCAACTTAAGTCAACTTACTCACTTGTAAGATGATATGTTTCATATCTGCTTCTTTTGGTTTCTTTATGTACAACTACCCGAACAACTGTGAACAAGTTTGTTGTCTTCATATTAGGTTTCTGGGAAACAACACGTTGAATGGCTCCTTGCCCACTCAAAAGAGGCATTCTCTGATCAATATGTGAGTAAAAAAATCTTTTTATAATTGTTTCATCTTTAAAAGCTGCAATGCTCTTTTGGACGGTTTGTTAGCAGATCCTCCTGATGTAGTAGACTCAAGTTTTGATAGAGTAAAGAACCAGACAAAGAGAAAAACAAATGCCTAAAGAACAGAATTTCCCACAAGAGAGATAATCTCTTGCACCTCGGTTACAACCGAAACAATGAAGCTACAACTTCCTTGCTCTAATAGTCTAATGTCTCTGATGAAAGACTTATTTAAGAAGAAGAGAAAATGAAAGAAATGAAAACTCCAACAATCACTCTAAAATCAAATCTCTGATATATCTCACTATAGAGATGTGTCTTACATTGAAGACTTCCCCAGACAATCAGGAAACTATTTTGGAATATACAACATATTCTGTAGATCCTAACTATTGTTTTTTTATGCTTACAGAGATGTGTCTTACAATGATTTGTCTGGAAGTCTTCCTTCATGGGTCAGTTTACCAAACTTGAAACTGTAAGTTAACAAAACACTATATCTCAACTTATATTCACAGTTGTTTTCAATCTCAGAAAGTTTCCCATGTGTATATTTATTAGGCTTCATATCCAGCATAAAGCTTCCTTTTTGTTGGAAATTTTTATAATAATCTTATGTTAACAAAACTGTATGTTACTTGTGCAGCAATCTAGTAGCTAACAATTTCACATTGGAAGGTCTTCACAACAGGTGATTTTCTTATGTGTTCTTGTTGGTGTGCTTTTTTTTTTCTTGCAGAAAGATGCAAGTATAAACGACTAATTTCTTTTTGTTAAAAAGTGTTTTATCAGGACTGAACTGCCTGCAGAAGAATTTCGCCTGCAATCGCGGCAAAGGAATCTGTAAGTGTAATAAAGATATATCCTCATAACCGTTGTTCTCCATGTGGAGCAATCACATGGACAGTGCTTGAATGTACTATTGGAAAGAAAGGAAAAATGTTCTAAGACTTTTGCTATTGACTGGTGCTAGATTATAACTTTTCGATCAATTGCGGAGGCCCAGAGATAAGGTCTGCTAGTGGAGCACTATATGAGAAAGAGGACACGGATCTTGGACCAGCTTCGTTTGTCGTGAGTGCTGCTCAGAGATGGGCAGCCAGTAGTGTAGGAAATTTTGCTGGAAGTAGCAGTAATAAATATAGAGAGACTTCACAATCACAATTTATCAACACTTTGGACTCGGAGCTTTTTCAGTCAGCAAGACTTTCTGCATCTTCCCTAAGGTATTATGGGTTGGGGCTAGAAAATGGAGGCTACACCGTTACACTTCAGTTTGCTGAAATACAAATTCAAGGTTCTAACTCTTGGAAAGGTATTGGAAGACGACGTTTTGACATTTATGTCCAGGTCTGCACCACTTGATCGAGGTTTCTGCTTTACAAATATTACTTTTTGGTTCTGATGAATCTTAAGATCTAGCTCCGTTTTTCCAGGGAAGACTTGTTGAAAAGGATTTTGATATACGCAGAACAGCTGGTGGCTCTTCGGTTCGAGCAGTTCAGAGAGAATATAAAACAAATGTATCAGAAAATCATCTCGAAGTCCATCTTTTCTGGGCTGGAAAAGGAACATGCTGTATTCCTATCCAAGGGGCTTATGGGCCATTAATATCGGCCGTCAGTGCAACACCAGGTAACACAAATGACGAATTCTTTTTTTTTCTCCCCTGATTTTTACTGTCTCCTGATGCTAGTTAGTGCCTAAGTGTCACATATTCCTGTTCAGATTTCACACCAACTGTGGCTAATAGGCCACCATCAAAGGAAAAGAACATGACTGGTACTATCGTGGGTGTCATTGTTGCCGTAGGACTCTTGAGCATCTTAGCGGGTGTGGTTATCTTCATCATCCTAAAAAGTAGAAAGCCATACACAGATGATGAAGGTATAGATGTAATAAGAACATAAACAATCCCGTGAGCTGAATTTTTTTGGCTCTCTTAATATAAAAATTGAAGTTAAATATCATCTATTTCATTGGTTGATTTTGAGAACCGAATTTTTTATGGCAGAGATACTTAGTATGGACATAAAGCCTTACACCTTTACTTACTCGATACTTAAAAGTGCAACACAAGATTTCGATCCCTCAAACAAGCTTGGAGAGGGAGCGTTTGGGGTTGTTTATAAGGTAAGTCCCTTACCTAAATAATCTGTATAGTATTAGGTAAGAAGAGTATATGTAATGCCTTTTAATATGTACATTTT